TAACTTCTTTAAGTGTCTTTTCTTCCTGCGACCTCAAACCAACAGGCCTACGTTAGAGCCTGGCAGTGCCTGCAGAGAGAGTACTAAGGATATTTGCCTAATTCTCTGCTGTCCCTGGGCTGATATGTTAAGTGCCAGAAACTGCAGTTTCTGGATAGAGGATACCAGAAGGCAGGCCAGCTACAGTAGCCTAACCCTAGGTCTTACCCACTGCCTACGCTCTTCCCACCCCCCTCGGCTGCCTCAAGAAGAACTGACCAGAGGAGAAGAGAGAAAATCACCTTCTCCTCCCACCAAGCCAGGGATGGCTCCTGGCAAAGGAGCAACAAAATACTCAAGGGAGCAAATATGGAGACAAAGTGAGGGACAGAAACTGAAGGAGAAGCTGTCTGGAGACCATTCCACCTGGGTATCCATTCCATGTGCAGTCACCAAAGGTATATGCTGATGTGGAAGTCAGGAAGTGCATGCTGATAAGAGCCTGATATAGATGTCTCCTTAGAAGTCTGCAAGAGTCTGACATATTTAGAGGCAGATGCTCACAACTAGCCATTGAACTGATCATGGGGTTCCCAATGGAGGAGTTAGAGTGAAGACTGTGGGAGCTGAAAGGGTTTGTGGCCCCATGAGGAGAGCAATGATACCAACCAACTAGAGCTCCCAGAGTCTAAGCCACCAGCCTGGGAGCACTTAGGGAGGCATCCATGGCTCCAGCTGTATATGTAAGGGTGGAGGGCCCTGTCAGGCATAGGTGGGAGAAGAGATCCTTGGCCTCATGAAGGCTAGACGCCCCAGTGGGTGGGAATTTGAGGGTGGGGAGGTAGGGGGGTAGGTAGGGGTACATCCGCAGAGAAGCAGGAGGAGGGGTGAGGGGATAGGGGGTTCCTGGGTGGGAGGGGATGGGGTAAGGGGAAAACATATGAAACGTAAATAAAACATCCAATAAAAAAATATAAAAAAAATGTTGTGAACATAAGCTAATTCCCTAGCATCCTCCAAGAAAAGCCAAATGGATCTCTTGTGCTCACTTCCAAAACAGTCTACCTGAAACATTACATCAAGATCCAGGAAGAGACCCTGTCTCAAAAGAAAATGAAGAGTGATTAAGGAAGACAAACTATGTGGGCCTGTGGCTTCCAATTGCATGAACATATATGTACATATACTGACCTCGACACATCCAAACATGTACCAACATGCATTCAAAAGGCTCTTAAAGTACAAAGGTAAATGAGAAAGCAGATTCATTTCAAATTAGATGGGGATACATATGCATCAGTAATTATCCCACTAATTCAAGAAATTATTTCTCTATAGGTACTAAATTTTAACAATTAGCACAGTTCTGCTTTTACTTAATTTGGAGAAACACTTGAATCTTAAGATTGCAGTCTTCCTGAAGAATCATGTTTGTATCTTTTCAGAAGAGACTAATGCCACAGCTCTTCAGGGGTTGATTTTAGTTTACCAGAAAAGTTGATCTCTTTAGGTGGGTTTCTGATAAACAAGAACCACCTTTAATCTTCCCCAGTGGTCAACAGCTGTAGTCAGGGGCACCTAGTTCCCACACAATGTGAACAGCCTTTATTAGCTGAAGGACCCCACCCTGCTGATATAAATCTGCTTGCTTTGCTTCCATTTTGCCCTCCTCTCCTCTTTCTCTGAGAGATGAACTTGGAAGATTGAACCTTAGTAAAGCTTTACTTTTCTACCTATGGAGAGGTTTAGTTTGGTGGTTTCACTGTGTCCTCTTTTACAGACTTTGGAACTTTGGATTAGAAAGGCGATTGAGTGTTGTCATTGGTGTTTTAGGGCAGTTCTAGTAGATACCTGGAAGACAGTAATTATGAGAACAACATGGATATGGAGACCCAGATGAAGAATTTTCAGATGGGAAGGATATTAGCAAGTTGGCCTAGAGACCATTCTTGTGATATTTTGCCAATGTGGCTGCCTTCTTCTCTTGTCTGAAAATTCTCCACGAGGTTAATTTGAAAATCTTTTTAATTAAAAAAAGCCTAGAATTGATGTGTCACATGGCTATTAGTGATAACTGTGTTGCAGATCTACAGTAAAAAAAGAGCAAGCAGGGCAAAAGCATTACAAAATGTACAGTTTGAGAAGAAAAAATAGAACCTGGAACTTTTTTAATGTTGGAGCCATATTCCATGCTCAAGAGATGAGAAATTTAAGGAAAAGCTTTAGGAGAAATGGAATAAAAGAAGAGGCACCATCAGGGAAAGAACTCATTCAGCTAAGCTTGCAACATGTGAAAATTAAAGGTTATTCAACAAAGGAAACTATCAATAATTCAAAACTTATATGAAAGTATGTCTTGAAAAGGATCAGTTTCCAGCCCTAGAAGGCAGCAGAATTTGGCAGCTTTAGCCAAGTACTTCCGGCTTTATCCAAAAGATACAGGTGTAAAGGGGTTGGGAAATCTTCCTTAAAGGTTAAGAAAAGCTGCTGAGGCTACACATTTGGCAGGCGACTTTCTGGGGAGGAGGAGGAGGGAGGAGGCTGAGAGGCTGTTGCCTGAATATGTGAAGGTAAAGCCTAAATTGTGCTGGAGACCCCAAGAAGTTGAAGGTGCCAGACCCATGGATTCCTGCCAAGAAGAGCTGCAGACAAGGTCTGGCTCTAGCTCAAGAGAAAGCATTGTGCTGCATTCAACAAAGCTGGAAGGGGTGGGAGTTCTGGAGAGCCACATAGTGCCAGAAACGGATGTAAAGGATTTAGAAGTTGCCCTGCTGGGTTTCAGCTTTAATTTTTAGTCCAGTATTTTCTCACTGCTCACCATTTCCTCCCTTATGGAATGTTCATGTATATTCTGCACAATTGTATGTTGGAAGTATATAATTTTTTTTCTTTTATAGGGAGTTACATTTAAGAGATTTCCTTGAGATTTTGGATTTTGTCAGTCTTGTGATTGTAAAAGAATATGTGGATTTTTGATGTTGTACTAGACACATTTTGAATTATGATAGGGCTGAAAATCTATGGGACCCAGAAAGTGGAATGTGGTAGTGTGAAAATGGCCCTCATTGGTTCAAATATTTGAATGTTTGGTTGATGTACTGTTTGGGAAAGTTTACAAAGTACTACCCTATAGAAGCAGGTGTGGCACTCAAAATGGACCCTAATTGAATGCGTTGTTTTATAAGCTGGGTTGGTGATGATGTTTCTTTATTGCAGTAGAACAGTGACTAAGAAGCATGATTACAAAATGGTGTCTTTTTTGATAAATATTGTGTTGTATTTTAAATGGAAAATATTTCTGCTTTATACTCTAGTTGGCTGGAAATGAGAAATCAGACTTTTCTTAAATATCAGCATATTATATTCTCTGAAGGAGCAGAGACAATTGAAAGGATTGACCATGTCTTTGTAGAATAGTGATCAATCGGTAGGAAAGGATCTTTTATAAATTTAAGCAAAAGTATATAGAACCATTTTCAGATTTATATGAGTGTAAAAAATAAAGTTATGATTAACTTATGAACCATTTGATATCCTTAAAAGATACCTAGAAAAACTTTGCTAATAATCAAAATTTCAAATTGCCCTGTAAACACTCTTTTGGCAAACAACTTATGTTTTTTTATGGTAAGCATGCATTTGTTACACATGTTTACAAGTAATATATTACACATGCTGAACTGTGTGAAGCAAAAAGTATATTAAAGACAGATTCCATATCTTGAAAATAAACTTCTCTGATTCTGATGATTGTTACTCATGATATATTCTACAGTGGAGTAGTAAATTAAATATTTGCTCTTCTTTAATGAAATGCCAAATGGGTAAAACTATTAGAATTTTATCTTCTGATATTTTAGCCCAATTAAGAATATAACCCAAAATTTAATTCACTCAAATGACAAAAATGAAGTTATTTTTTCTTGAATGTTTTTGAGCCTCAACTAAAGAAACACAAATATGTATAAACAGGTCCTTTTTCTCTTAAAGCAGTGTTCCACAATCTGTTGGTCTTGAGCCCCTTGGGGTTCACATATCAGATATCCCATTTATCCAATATTTACATTATACTTCAATGCAATAGAAAATTTTCTGTTCTGAAGTAGCAAAAATTAATTTATGATTGGGGATCACTACAGTATTAGAAACTCTATTAAAGCATTAGGAAAATCAAAAGCCATTGACCTAGAGACAGTGTTAGGTAAGCATGCAGTGGGGGATGGCACATGATCGAACTCTTTTTCTTTAGTCTACAGTCCTAGATCCACACAGTTATTTTGCTTCATTTTAAAAGCATTAATCCTTTTCACTTGCTTAAATATATCCTTTCACTTAGATTAATTTTTACTTACAAATAAAATCTAAAATCATATATAGTTTATTAAAGCAGATCCTCAAATTTCCACTGAAATTGGTATATTAAGGAATTAGCTAAGGTCACTTACTATATTTATAAACTCTTGCCTTCACAAATGCTGCAAATAATAATTGAATAGTATATTATGACCACTTATAAAATTATTTCACTGGCATTTTTGCATTTAAAACATGGTTAAGATCACAAATGGTTGTGGTTTACTGTGCTGCCATCAGCTGCAGAGTATCAAAGAGTGCTTTCGGTAGTACTGGAAAAGCATCACATCAAGAAGGTAGCTGGTTAAAATGTGGAAGAAGATATGACTTTATTATTAAATGGGGAAGCATCTTGGTGCCCTGACTCTTTCTATAACCCCTCATTCAAGTTATCTTAATATGGTAGTAAGTGATGAAAATCATGATAGAATCCTGTCTCTCTTCTTTGTGCCAGGTCCCTCCATTTATCTTGTTTGATGACAAAGAGTAGAATGGCGCTGGTAAGCAACTCAACCCAAAGGCAGTCCTAAATGTGAGAAAGTCTATCTTTGTAACAACTTGTTACTGGTCCTCTATTTGTGTATTCTTTACAAATACTCAACCTCATCCTCTCCTTAGCATATACAGCAAGTAAGTAAGTTCTAAGGATAACAAGGACTTGAACTTACCTTAAAGGGTGTCTATCTGGTTTTTCTCTTCCTGAGAGAATTCACAAAAGTAATATACATGTTATGGATCTCTACTGGTGATGTTTCTTCACACCTGCAAAGAACAATACAAAGATCAATTTTAAATTACAACATATGAAGGAAGACAAACTTAGGGTCTGATATGCCTGCTTATTTCAAGTTCTTAGTAGAATTATTGCAAATGACAAAACAGCCATTGTTCATTACCCTGTGACTAGTCAATTTAAATATGGGTAAAATAAGGCAACTCCATGTACAGTTACAGGTAATTATTTATTCTGTTACATATAGTTATTCAAGGTCCTTTGCCCAAGTTTAGCCATCCTTGATTTTTATTAGTCTTTCATTTCTCTGTCAAATTTCAGTGTGTTTTATTGTTGGATGTGTATTATAGAAATATTATTGGGGAATAATTTTATATAAATAACAGGTATGCAAAAATAGGAGAGACTTCTTTCTCTTTTCTTTTGACTTTAGCTGCAATTAATAATTTGTTGTAACTCTAATAGCTAAACAGAACTAAAACAATAGAAAATCAGGGCTGATTTTGTAGTTTGGTTGTTGGTTAGCACACATGAAGGATCAGGTTCAATTCCCAATATGTTTTCATATGTAAATATACAAGTAAGTGTGTTAATTAGTACCAGAAATCTATATGACAATTGTAATGCATCAGTCTAATGTAGGAACAAAAAATAGGCAAACAAAAATATTTAAGTAAATGTTATGTCTGGGTACAATTTTTCCCTATAATAATAGGAAAGTAATTTTGAAGGTATTTCAAATCACTGAATCTTAAGGTTCTTTCCTTCTATCAGAAAGAATACTGTATAAAATTGTTACTAAAGCCATGTATCATAGAGGAGGACCTGCTACCTCTACTTTCCTAGAGCAGTATAATTCCTAGTGATACTCTAAATAATTATACTATAGATAAGCATGAATCTGACCACTTATCAAAGGAGCTTTTTTTTTTCAGCTGAAGTTCAACATTATAGAAAACGATACACAGTCAAAATTCAATTCAAAACAGACAAGGGAACCCATTCTCACGGATACATCTGCAACATAACTCCTTTACCTGAGGTTCAGGGAACATCTACAAAAAGGCCTGGAGTATTTAAAAGCCAGAAGAATTGGAAATCTGCTCTAAAATTATTTTTTTCTAGCTATGACAGTGAAGCCATACCCATAAAATCTCAATCATGTGGTTGCCCAAACAAGTCTTAAATAATTATGACAACTTTCCCAAAGTAGTTAAGAGAAACTTGTGGGCCATCAACCCTTGATGATGAGCTACATTCAAGTAACAGTTGCTGTGGGAGGAAGATTTTGTATTCCCCAACGATGAATGCGCTCATTGGTTATTCAAAACCAGTGAAAATATAATTGCCAAAGAAGAAGAGATCACACATTTAGGAGGGACTGGGCTTTAGACATTGGAAGAATAGGAAGAAAGAAAGAAAATGAAGAACGGATGCAATTATATATATATTTTTTAGATTGTTTTTATTTATTTATTGTATGTAAGTACACTGTAGCTGTCTTCAGACACCCATATGAGGGCATCAGATCTCATTGTAGATGGTTGTGAGCCACCATGTGGTTGCTGGGATTTGAACTCATGACCTCTAGGAGAGCAGTCAGTGCTCTTAACCACTGAGCCATCTCACCAGCCCGCAATTATATTTTTTAAATACAAAAATATTCTAAATACACAGAGAGGTAGCTCAATTGTTAGAGTCTTTCCTATTAAGCATGAAGCACTAGGTTTGATCCCTAGAATATCATAAAATAGTTGAAGTAGGATATACTTGTCTTATTACTCAATAGGTGGAAACAGAAAGATCAATAGTTCAATGTCCTCTTTGGGCACATAGAAAGTTGGAGGTCAGTCTGGCGCACATACAACACAGTCACAGAAAAAAAAAGAACTCACAAAGTTATGACTTTTTCTCTCATTTTCCTTTTAAGAACATTATTTGTTTCTGTAATAATTTGAGGCAAAGGTCTCATGTTTGTATGAGGGAATTTTTATAAGCTATGGGCATATATCTACTGACTTTCATCTTTATGTGCAATTAATTATGGACAAATATTACCAAGATAGCTATGATTAATTGACATGACATTCACATACCAATTTGGAAAATCAAAACAAACAAAAAAAAACAATAAAAAAAACAACCCCAAAATTCTGCTTGTAGAAATTTAGCAATTTTTAAAATTCAGAACATTAAAATAACTTTGTTTCAACTGGAAGTTAATAGTCCAGATGTCTAACTGTGCTTATAAGGGACAAAGCTTGGAAATCAGAAAAGATCTGAAAAACACTGAGAGAGTCACAAAATAGCTTACAGTGGTGGCTTGTGTTTGTTAGTTTTGGTTTTGAATATTTTTAGGTTTCTCTAACCGGTCAAGAAAAATTAGTTCCGATCAAAGATGCACATCTAATTGTTATTTCATGTCTTTGTCTTTCCCAAGCAGAATGGATTCCTGAATTTAAGAACTGAATGTTTGCTGAAATCATAATTCCCAAGGAGAATTTTCATTCTGACTGATCAAGTTTATTCCCTGCCTTGCTGAAACAAAGAAGGGAAATTTCAATATGTTTTATGCCTCAGACTCTGAACTAAACTGTCCACATATCTCAAAAATTAAGCCTTCTACCTATTATGAAAAAAAACCTGAACCATGTTTTCTATTTTGTTGATAAGGAAACTGAGGCATAGATGTTTAATTTATTTTTTAGGCAAGAGAAAAGGAGCATAGCTGACATATATGACTGACTACCCAGCGCATGTGCCTTCCTATTTCATATTTCTTGCATCCTGTCAGTTCAAGGTAGGATCGCTCTCCCTGAACACATTTATTGCCGCATCTTCTAGTGCCCCCTATATTCAGTTTCACTGGCCTCAACATGGTTGCTTCAGAATTTGATAAGGGGTTTAGTAATATTTTACTTATTTATATTAACTTATAATAACAAAAATGGGCCAGTTCCTTCTACTGTTGCTGTAGGGATCAAACTATGAAGATTTTACAAATTCCTTGGTTGAATTAGTGTCTGGAAAGAATGTACAAATAACACTATTGTCATCACCATTATTATCATGATCATCATTTTAACTTATATGTTGACCTTATGTAATATCTTTTGTAAATTGCATTTTCCATTATAGATAATATATGTGTGTATGTGTTCATAAACATATATACACAACTTCATATAATGTAATAATATAACCTAATAAAAGAAAATTCAGTCAATTTTTTAACAACTACCCAGTACTCAATAAATCAGTCTTGACACCTTTACTTTTTCCTTTCCCAGGAAAAGAGGGAAAAAACAAGCTACTAATCTCTCCATATCATTGAAAGGCAATATTCAGTATTCTCAGAGAACAGGCTATGAAGGCAATGTGCTCAAAACTGTCCAAGATTACTGTGCTCATTTGCAGAGACCATTACAGTTTATTTTATTTTTAAGCATCTCATGTCTGAGTATTGTATTGACGTCATTGTCATCCCTTCCACTCTCCCTACAGTACCTCTTATGATCCCCTATTAATTCTCCAGTTCATGACTTCTTTCTTGCTTATTGTTGTTATATTCTCTCTCTTTCTCTCTCTCTCTCTCTCTCTCTCTCTCTCTCTCTCTCTCTCTCTCTCCCTCCCTCCCTCCCTCCCTCCCTCCCTCCCTCTCTCTCTCTCTCTCTGTCTCTCACACCCACATGCTTGCACACAAACACACAGAAACACACACACACACACAGACACACACACATACACAGAAACACACACATGTTCACTTATACTTGTTTTTCCACATATGAGGATAACGTATCAGGAGGCTCCACCATTATCTCTCAGCAGCCATTATTTATCTTAATGTTTCCATGGGGCAAGGTCTTATAAGATTTCCTTCATCCATGTTGGCACATCATAGAGCAGGTCTTGTTCAAGAAACTGTAGTTTTATGATTTTTTTAATAAAGCAAATGGTGTGTGTGCTTGTGTGTGTGTCCAAAACAAATCAAACCAAAAATCAATAAAAGAATAAAAGATAGTCAAGTTTTCACTTGATTATAATCAGTTTGTGTGAAGAAATGTCCATTTGGATACTGCTGTTAGAGAACTCAGTTACGAAATATTCACATAAAGAGTTCCAAATCAGTGTGATATATTTTGAGTTTATATTAACATTTAGATTAATGAGAAATTCAACTTGAATTATGAGCTTTGGATGCTTGAGTTCTCTCCTTGCCAGCTTGGAATGTGGTCTGTTGATTCACCTTCTAGTCTAATCAACAGATTCCAGTATTCATGTATTTCTAGTGCCAGAGGATTTTCAGGTGGGTGAGGGGGGCATACTGACATCAACATCGAAAGATTTAGTTCTTAACTGTGATGGATGTGAAATGTGTCCAACAGTTGCAGACATCTTCCCTGTAGTGCAATTTTCCATAAATAATTGCTAAGAAAGGGAATTCTTTATCAATATAGGTTATAACTTCTTCATGAAGAAGTTATAGCTATTCATTAGTTATTTCTGGAGACTCTACTCTGTACTGCAGGCTGCTTTAAATCTTCACACATTCTTCTTCCGGGAACTCATTTTCGATTCTATGTTCTCATACACACACTCAGAATAATATGAAAAAGTTTATGATTAAAGATGTCACAGTGAGCGCTGTCTTAAAATGTAAATTAAACATTAGTCAAATAAGGGAAAGCAAGTCTTAAAATGGGGACTCTCTGAGAGAATATTATACCATCTCTTCAATGAACCTGGAATGCAGAATAATGATTTTAAGATAAGTCAAACACACACACAAACACACACAAACACACACAAACACACACAAACACACTCTATGCATTAGGGAGTATATAATATATAAGGGATATTATGTATCATATATATATGTATATATGAAGTAACAATTTAATATACATAGTTGGTTAGAGATTAATTCATACAAACATTTTAATATACTAAAAATTTTGAATACTTTCCTTAAAATTAAACTGGTGCAGAATTACTGGTGGGCTTTAAGTCAGCCATACTTAAG